GAGTTATGGATTGTGTTATTTTTTTTAAGAATACTGAAGCCAGAGATGATCGGTGAATCGGAATATTATAAGTGCCGATAGATATATTGAAAAGCAATTTGTGCTTCATCCCTTAGCTGTAAACAGAGAACAGAGCAGTTGTTTCTACTCCTGGCGGCCCGTAAAGAAACTCGGCTCACGGCACTCGTCATAGCGATCGAAAAATTATTAAGATACAGTGAGGTTGAAGACAGATTTAAAAAGCCTTCTTACCACTGACTGCTTTCAGTAAGAAGAGTCTCTTGGCGTAGTCACAACACAAAAATCGTGCATGGCGCGTAAAAAGTGTAACAGAAGTACCCATGCTTTGAAGAAAAAGAATTTTTTTTTTCATCTCGACAGCTTAGCAGCAAGTTGTCACTAGAATGGAATCGTAAAAAGCTACAGAGAAAGCTTTTAAAAAGATGAACAGGATGGGAACATGAGTCAAAGAGGGTGAGTGAATGAGGGATGGACTGTGACGGAAAAAAAGTGTTAGAGTGTTAGAGAGGCTGCATGTTTTTGCGATAAAATGTTGTGGACGTAAAGTGTGCATGTGAGACGATAGCTGAAATGCATAGTTTTTGTGCTATCCGCGTAGCTCTTTCGACCCATCCCAAAAAAGAAAAAATTCCGGATGTGTAGCCTGTTCTCGACTGGGAAGGGAGAAAGGGTAGGAGTGATTAAAAGCAGCGTGACTGGGGCTAAAGAAATTTTGGAAAAGAATTTTATTTGGCGGGTCTCCTTCAAAAACGTTGCGCAAATACATCGAACAAATGGGAGGGGTGCAGATTAGAACCAAAAGGCCAGAAACAGATGTGTCCAACGTGTGGAAGCATCCCAGTAACATCACTAGATCTTGGTATTCTCGATTTGTTTGGTAAAAAATTTAGACCGAACTGAATTTGAGTCGTTGTTTACGGCAGACAGAAGAATGTAGGTTGAATTGAAATTTGTTGCCTTAAGGACAATTCTTATAGATCTTCAGTCCCTTGCTGTAGTGGTTCTGCAGATGAATTATTCGGGCAGGCATGAAAATGCAAATACTTTTTTTTTCATGGTGCGATTTCGTTTGCATAATGCTCACGAGCGCATAAAAGTGGGATGAGACGTTAACAGTGGTAAAAGATGAAAAAAGAAACCAAGAAAATTTATACTTGCAAAAGCCACCGAAAAAACATCAGTTTCATTCCGAAATGAGAAAATTAAACTGTGAGGGAGACTGGCAATTGGCAATTACAAGAAAATGAAAGAAATAAGTAAATGCCAGTAATACAACTCTTTTCGTATTCGGTGAGAGGAGGAAACAGTTGGGAAGCAATCCTAGCAATAGCAAATGCCAACAGCAACCACTCGACGGCAACACAGTCAATGACTCTCTCTTTGGGAGTTCATTAGATGCAAGCTAAATTCGAATTCAGAATTAAAAATTCAGTGGAAATGATCGGGTAGGGTAAAAATAACATCTCGGTAACATCATCACCATGAAATATTCATATTTCTAGCCCGAGCGGTCTCGTCTTGGTATCCCCGGATTAACCACAGAGTGAAGATCAGCCCGGATAAAAAAGGATGCATGGCTAATTTTTAGCTGAAACTGTTGACTAGGCACAGAAAGGATGCGCTGAGACGACGGATCGTTTCAGAAACTGCAAAAGGGGAAGAGAATCGATTTCAGACAATAGCTCGGTGACAACGAGGGAGAGGAGGAGGGAGAGACTGAGGCAGTGCTAGAGCCTTGACTGGCTTGTCCGTGCCCATCCAGCACTTAGGCTAGCACATCTCGGGCCTAGGCCACTAGTAATCTTCTTCCGCTTCTCGATTTAATCCAATTTAGTTGCTGTCCATTGAACGCAGTGAATGAACTGGGAACGCATGAATGAATGAGTAAATGCATGAACAGATGAAGGCTTCAAGATACTATTACTACTACTGTTACTGCTGCTGCCAATGAATTAATGCTTAAAGAGCCGGGAACGACAACTTTAAAATAATACTGCTGCTACTGCCATAGCTGCTGCTGACTGCGACTGCTACTGCCCTACCGCTACTGCTGCTGCGCATGCTTTGAAAAGAGTGGAATAAATTGAACAGTGCTTATTTGAAAGTACGAAAGTATAACATGGATTTGTTAATTTAGCTAATATTGGGGAGCAGTGTGAGGCACGCCTGTCGCATAGCATTTCACGGCAATACATTTCTGGAAATCCAATTAGGGTTGCTGCTATAAAGGCCTACAAACGGCATAAGTCTCGAGTAATGCTGCTCTTTAATGGGAAGCCAGCACTCTCTTGCACGCTAGTTACATCGCACTTACGTTCAAACATTTAGCATATTCGGCCTCTGTGCTGCGAGATGACATTTCGCGCATTTCGGTCTCAAATACTAAGAATACCAAAACTGTTGTGTTATCAGTGTAGATATCCGTATTAGTGATGTTACTGCGATGACGCCAGGCGTAGCTATTCCAGACACTTTGGAATACAGCTCATCTTCTCAGCTGCTGCTCATCTAGAAGTCATTTCAATCAGCTAGTAATATTCCTCGTGTATAGCTTGTAAATTTAATAAGTTTGAAAAGAGTTCCGGTTCTTGCTTAATACCTATTTAAATCTTCCTAATCCTCTTTCTCACTCGCATTATCGCCTCTCAAACACTATGTTTACCAAGATCGATCGAACAACTTGTGAAAACCAATAAATAATTGGCCAACGCACGGCCTGTCCGTGCGTTTTTTGCATAGTT